GCAAGTAACACACCATGGAAGTTTGTATGGATATGTATTTATCAGTTCAGGTTTGACAGAGCACAATAAGTGTTGCAAAGTCTACAGAAGGTGGATACAATTTGTACAAAGCACATGCCCAAAATCCATTGAACCCTCTGCAGAATAGATTTTGGAGACTTCCATTTTGGATTCATCAATGATTAAATAAGCAAAACAGGAATGAAGAGAACATGGATTGGCGGATTGCAAGGTCGAGATGTGTGCCACTTTGTTTAATGCAAATCTGTGATCGTGGCAAAGTGATACAAGTGCCAGTATAGCATGAAAAGATTCATTTGCATTGACATAAGGAATACAAGAAAATTATGACATACAGAATGAACAGAAGAATATGGCCAGGTTGAAAAGGCAACAAGCCCAGTTCAATCAGATAACATTTCAATTTAACTGCATCTCATTAAATATAAAGTATAACTTATTTGCATATTAAATTTTAAAAAATATCTTTCATGCTCAAATTGTCATACTAAGCTGCTCTATAGGTACAAACACTTGGTAACAATAGGATGAGGCATAGGATCATCTAAAATGATCAATGTCAAATTCATTCATAGCAAAATCAACTTGATAAAATTGCACATTGAACATTCTTTTGGTAGATTTTGTACTAACACTCTTAATTGTGAAGTGTTTCTTTCTTTTTTTCCATTTTTTAATGCAAACATTGAGCTAGTAAGCAAAGAGAGTTAGTCATTTTATGTTGAAATTACAGTAAATTAGCCAATCGACTGCTGTGGTTATATGGAAGGAAGTCGGACAACTTTGGCACAAACCTAGGGAAGTCAAAAAGATCAATTATAAGTATGATTCAGTAAAGAAGTGGAGCTTCGGCACAAAGTTTGCTTGATCAAACTTTGGCACAGAGGCCCAATTCTGACACAAAGTTAAAAGGGTGGACCGTGGAACTTTCTTGTTAAAAACCAATGAGAATCAACAATCACACAGAATGAATGAATGAATGAAGAAAAAATGAACTAAAAAAGATCAATTATAAGTATGAAACAGTAACTATTGGCAGATTAAGTTTCTTCTCGATGAAAAACACAGTAAATTGTAGAGCAAGAACATGCAGGAACATCTTCTATGGATGTGGATACAATCTAAATGATCTCAGCATAAGTAAATTAAAACAAAAGGAAAATTGAAATAGAATTTATCAAAAAATGGACAAAGAGTTCAAATGTTTGGATTTCCTACAACCTAATTAACTTGGATTCTAGATACCTGCAATTTAGAGAGCTCTTGACAATAAGCACTGGGTAAAATATCAGGCCTTGTGCTAAGCGCTTGTCCAAGCTGCAAAAAATAATAATGATAATAATAATATCTAATTAGATCCATAGTATATAAAAAATCTGCTTGTTTAGATATCATGAATCATTCAAAAACATCTGAAAGAAACATAAAGGTGCTATTCAAATATTTATCACAAGCCATTCTCAAACATACCATATAAATAGATCCCAAACATGAATCTAGTTGGATGGATTCAGAAGCCACAAGCAAGAGAAGATATTTGTCCAAGATTCAGGTGCCCTTTACCTTCAAGAATTTCTTCTTGCATCAGATATGAGCATGTATTTTGACTAGGCTACTCTACCAGGAGCTTTGTGGTGGATAATAATGAGCCCTCCTATGGTCAGTTGGCAATAAGCTGGGACCAAAAGCTTAACTACTTTAGCATGCTAGTACACCACCCTATAATGTTTATAGACAGGTCCAGAAAAATAAATAAAAAATAATTAGCCATTACACGCCTGGCAGGCATGTTCATATATGAGCTTGAGAATAACTTCTAAGTAGAATATGAGATGCTTCCAGCAAAGGCACTCATCATTCCATTTGCTTTCATCAAAACCTACCACATAAATTTAGGGGAAGCTCAGATGGATAACACAAGATTTTATCGCTACTTATGTATATAATAGCTTTTTTACTTTACCTTTTTTATTTTACATAGAAACAACATGATACATGTGCAAATCATGATTATCATATTTGGTTCAGAGTCCATTTCTTCCTACAAACTTACAAAACTACTCAGAACTGCCAACAGAAAATAAATGAGAAATCCAACCACCAGCAAAAAATGTATTTTTCATCCCACAATAACAATCCAGGTTCTTGGAACATCCCCATGAGCTTCTATAAGAACATGTATATGTATAAAATTAATTTAAAAATAAACAGATTTTCACTGACTCCAGGCATGCATGAGATATCGTTAACTAAGATTCTTCTTCACAAGAACAAAAAGAAGAATCCTTTCCCAAGAAATTGATACAAAGCAGGGGGTACTTGAGATTGTAAATGTCAGCATTCTTCAAAAGAAACGAGCAACGCAGAGAGAAGATTATGTGATTGCAAATATCTAAACTGATTTTTTTTATTACCTTGATATAGAAGGGACCCAACCGAATAAGAGTCTTCCGAAACTGGAATAGACAAAAAAGTCTAATTAAAAAAATTATCCAAAAAAAACTAGAAGAATATCTGAAGCTGGAAAGACACAAATATCAAACAATCAATCTAGTATCATAAACATTCAATCCCTGCAGCAAGCAGATGGTTCCTCATGCCAGCATAGCGGTCTTTAGCCAGAAGGATAAAGATGTGTTTGGCTGTTTTTTCAGAATAAAGCTTCATGTCCATACAAACTAAAAGGAACTTATTTGTCTTGCAAAAAGATTAAGGTCATTGAACCTGCACTTAATTCCAAATCGTAATCCCCTTCATAAGGTGCCCTCTTTCAATACTGGCATTGAAACTACAAAGACAACTTTTACCATTTCTCAAGCACACCTACTGCACATGTGCGCAATTGCATTCCCTCTTCATTCGTTTTGTATCTAAGTGATTGCCACGTCCTCAAAGAAGCCTCAAGAAACAAGAATGAACCAGTATTCACAGACCAAATGGAGGTCCACGAACCCAACAGAAATAACTAGACAAGCTCAACAGCAAAACGTGACAGTCTATTTAATCAATAGAAATCAAGGGCTTGGAGGAAGAGTGGTATACCTTGGCAGCTCGCTTATGTATGTCGCGGACAAAGAAATGCCATACGGTCAGTTTCGCCAGGTAGAAGGATATGATGGCCGCTCGGTACAACGCCAAGAACGGACCAAAACGATGGTAAGCAAACCATGTTTTCGACCCATGGGCTCCGAGGATGTGCCCGAACTCGGTCTCCAGCGACTCCTTCCGCAGCTTCGCATACTCCGCAGACGGCCTCTCGCCATGGACACTCGTATAGCCAGTCGACAACCTACAACACCGCGACAAATTTAAGCACAGAAAATCCAGGTAATTCAATAACAGAAGGAATGCCAGAAAAGAAGGAGCACTCACTGCCGAATTAGAGCGAAATGGAATGGCACGACCCACTGTGGGCTTCTGATCCGGATGCCAGCTGCGGGTCTCATCAGCAAGCACTCCTCCACCTGTCGAGGAGGAATCAAGAAATCGCCCAACGGGGCGATACACGGAGAGGAGTGTAGACCCCGGCGGCGCTGATGGAAGAGCAGTCCGCGGAAAGCATTCCTCATGGGCGAAACCTCGTTTCTTGAACCCGACTCGATCTCATCAGCCGATCAATGCGGCATATTCGACACAGACGACAAAGATCAAGCGAGGGAGGAAGTCCGCCATGGGCGAATCCTCGTTTCTTGAACCTGACTCGACCGCATCAGCCGATCAAGAACGGGTTCAACGTACAGAAGACGCACATGGTGAGAAGGGAAAAGGGCGAAGGGATGCGTTCCTTAGGAGAGATCAAAAAGAAAGTGGGAGAGAAGGGCGGCGAGTAGAGTTGGGCAGCAGCCGGGGGGAGACGGCGGGAGCTGCCACAAGAAGGCACCACGTAGCGTGAGGGAGGCAGGGCGGGGCTTCGCTTACTTTTTCTTTCCACTGGTTTTTCCCCAAAACCTGGCTCCGCAGCGTACCCGCTAATTAAACCGTGACGTGCGCGGGCCTCAAAAGATAAGACGGCCACGATCGATGCAACTTGGGTTGGATTGGGTTGACTTGGCTCGGCTTGCGTTGCAACCGAAACCGTCCGGCCCAATCCACGATCGATGGCTTGGCTTACTTGGAATTGGTCCCGTGAAGAATTGAAGAGAATCTGAACCAAACGCAAATCCAACCTTAATTTGGGTTGGGTTAGGCGGGTTCGTTCATGATCTCAGCAGCATCTTCACCTCAGTTTCCGTTTCTTTTCTTCATGGTCTCAAGGAACCAGGATTGAGGAGGGTTCCTCACTGGACAACTCCTCCTGCGACAGTCTCCTCTGTATTATTTCTACTTCTTTTTTGTTCTTGTGGAACAATCGTATCGACGCCAAGTATCGCAACAGTTCTGCCAATGTTTCCTCACTCTAGAGAAAAACCCTGTCCACTGTTAATGGCTCATTTGTCTCTGTTGAGATCATAGGAGGAGACCCAGGGGATCTACAGGAAAAGTTTTGGCCATTTTCTAACATTTGATGGCTCATTTGTCTCTGCTGAGCTACCTGCAGGTGTCGGATTTTACATTCAAAATTCTGCAAACACTCCTCTTTGGATTGGAGGTGGTCCTGGCAAAGCAGCTAACCTTCTCATGGCTGAAGCTTTGGCGCTATTGGAAGGACTCAAAGCCGCAGCCTTCCTCCAGGGATTTGTTCTTATCCCTTTGCTGCTGAGTGAGATCCATCTTTAGCGATATTGTGTATCCTTCTGACAAACTGAATGTGGCGAATGTGTCTCATCTGCTTAGATCTGCAAATGTTGTGAGCCAATTGGTTGCTGCTTATGGCAAAGCTCGGTAGCTCTTTGTTGTATGCTGCGGACGATCCGCAGGCTTCTCTTTTGTTTCCAGTGGTTTGAATTAATATAGTTTCACTTTTGCTAACATAAAAAAAATGGAAAACAGCAAAATATGCATTTTTGTGATTGCCATTGAATGCTTGATCCAGTTTTAACTTAAAAATCTAGCATGCTAATTAGAACCTCCATAACTCTACAGTCTCTGCATTGCAAACTGTGCCAGAAGAAGACACAAAGAACACTACTAAAGCCTCATCAAAGTATTTATTCATACAGTGGCGGAGGCATAGAGAGCAAATTAACACATGAACAGTGTCTATTCCCTTAGACAGAGGGAATATTGTCGAAGTAGAAGCCTTTGTAACCCTTGTATGCATAATAAGCTATCCTCGTGTAGTAAAACCCCGGCAGGAACAACACCGACCCCAATATCGCAAAGAAAACCCCTAATCCATCCACAACCAAACGAAAAATCACAAAAATTCCTAAATAATTGATCGTAAAATCTAGGGAAAATTCAGTTACCGTGGGCGCGATCGCCGCCGACGCGGTTGGCAGCCATGACGGAACCGATGGCGATGGCCAGGGAGCCGAAGACGAGGAGGGAAACGGCGAAGGCGATCTCCTTGACGGGGGGGCGGTTCTGGATGGCGCGGCTGGAGTCGCCCATCATGACGTCCTCGTCGGAGATGGAGAAGGCGTGGTCGACGTACGCCATGGTTGGCCCCCTCCGACTTCCACCAAGGATGAGGGTTTTTATGATGAGAGAGGGGCAGACCAGAGGAGAACGGGAACCCTAGAACGCAAGAAGGAGTCAATGGTATTGGGATTTGGGGTGCGGGAGCGATAGGAGCTGGTCTTCTACTCGCAACCTCTCGGGACAATTTAGTCGTAACCATAGTCGGGCCGACGAAACAAATCTGTTGGCGGCGGCGGCGGGATGCGCGCTACAGTGATTCTGGATTCACCCACATCTGCACCAGGATGACTGGTCTCCGGGGCCCAGCTGAATCCCGGCCGTCGAATCGGGTCGGATCGAACCGATACGGGTCCGAACTCAAATACCGGTCGGAAAAGATCATTGTCTAACTTTTATACGGATATCAATTAATAACGAGCACAGAGAACCTTTTTTTTCTTCTTTTTTTTAGCATAGAACAGATCTCATCTGTAATCCTCGTCTAACAAATTTGACGAAAAAACATAAGGCAACTCAATTTCATATTATCTGAACTCCTATAAGTCAATTTATAGTTTAATCTTAGATCAAAAGTGAGAGAAGAATTTGATATGTATATTGTTATTAACTTAATTATAAGCATCTTATAATGCTAAGATTATTATTCACAGCATCTTTTTACTAACGATAATCTTTTACCATTGATAAGTTTTTATAAATTAAAAAATATTTTTATTATTTATCATCTTAATATTATTAATCATCTATGAATAAGTTATGTTTTATCCCTAGGAGGTCATGTCCTGCAAGAGTAGAGGTTTGATAAATAATTATGAGTCTATCCCATCAAGATTATTTCCTAATAAATTTTATCATAATTGAATTTTGACTAATAATCGTTATTAGAATCATATATATATATATATATAATTTAATTATATAAAAATCATATAATCTAATAGTAATCTCATATGTATTCATCAAATCAAATTAATGAGTCACTATTCTATTGAGTTGAGTGGTGATAAAAGTGAGAGAAGGGAGTTAAAAGATCTCGTTATAATAAATGTTATAATAAACAACACTAGATATTAAGTGAGAGTATTGATGTATAAATTATAAGTAAAAAATGACTATTTGTGAATATCGTACAAGTTATCATTAAATTATCACTATTTGTGAATGTCCATACAAGTTATCACTATTTGTGAATGTTGTACAAGTTATCATTAAAAATGACTATTCTTATATTTGATTATAGATTAATTTATAAATATTTGATGAGCATACTATCATTAAATTAGGTTTAAATATTTTAAAATAATTATTTAAATTTGGGTCATACTTTACCATAGATTATCATAGTTTTTGAAGAATTTGAGTTTTCCCCTGATTATTTTTAAACCAAGAGGGATTTATATAGATCCAAAGAAATTTTTCATGAATATATTCATATTTTGGAAAAATATTGATAGACATAGAAATACTTTATAATATCATGTATAGAGGATACTGCTTGTTATCCTTGAGGTATGGATTTAATAATAAAGTAATAAAAAGCTTAAAATCAATAATATAAAAGAAGAATACGAGAAAAAAATAAAGAATCTAAAGAGGCTATGATTGCTCCCTCTCGAATTCGAACACTCACAAGAAATATATTTTTATTTTTTATAACTAAACTAAGTTACATTAATCGTAAGGATTAATTATATTCATGTGGTCGATATTAAAGAATTTATTATAAAAATAATAAATTTATTCATTAAATAATGTGTATCTATATAAGTTACAAGGGAGAGATTTTTCTTAATTATGTGTCAAATCATGTATTAAAATATGTGATTGATCCTCGTATCATTAACAATTAAAACATATAATGAATGTAAAGTTATCATTTCATATTTGCCAACATTATGATCTTCTATCATGCTCTCATAAGATTGAGCTTTCGTCAAGAATGTCAATCTTGGACTGATACAATTGAAATATACTACAAATAATAGGCTTTGTGAGGGAGTTTGCTAGTTGGTCAGAAATATAAACATAAGAAATAAGATCAAGGTGAAAGTTGATGATAATCAATGTATTTCATGCATGAGTGAAACATCGAGTTAAAGCATAAATATGTAGCACTGATATTATCACACTATATTATAGGAGTGGATCAGGAGGTGATTACAAGTTCATGTAACATATTAATGACATAGTAGAGTTCTTGAGCGATCATAGCAATGGCTCGGTATTTAGCTTCAATGTTGGATCTTGTGACTATTTTTTTTTTTTTGATATTAATGACAAATCATATTTGCTTAAAGGAAGATAATGTAGGTTAACATAAATATTCTATCATCAGTGTTGCTTGCCCAATCAGTATCGACGAAGACATGAAAATGAAGAGATGAGTGTTTGTGAAGAAAAAGTCTATGATTGTGAGCCCCTTTAAGATATGACATAACACATTTTAGTATGGACCAATGTGCAGTAGATAGTAGATATATAAATTATGATAATTAATTAACTACAAATAAAATATCTAAACATATAATAGATAAATACTATAAAGAACCAAGTACTTGGCAATATTGTGTGAGATCCGTAGTAGGGTTATCATCATATAATTTGAATAACTTAGTAATGGAGAGTAGGGTGGCAACTTTTTTGATATTCTATATGCTCGTCCTTATAAATCTCTAATGTATTTATTTTAAGATAGAAAAAGTTTAGAAGATATGAATGTTATTTTTACTTCTAGAAAGTAGCTTAAGATTCTTAAGTCTTTGATGGGGAATCAATATATCAATTTCTTAAGAAATTATTTGATTTTCATGTTGGGAAATCACATAGAGCTTCACAAGCACAACGAAAAAATAAAATAAAAACTAATTTATCAAAAGAATCATATCTGATATTCATATGATAACTGAGAGCGAAAGACTCATAAAATTAAAAACTACGTAACATGTGTGAGACGTTCTCACCTACGGGAGATCGTGCTAGTCATAGATATCCTACAAGCAAATTACATGAGTAATAGCACGTGTGATATGATATGAGTTCTTTTTATTTATTATATTATTTGATATTTTATCACTTTATCTTGCATGTTACATATATTGTGATGTCTATGGATCTATGCAATGAGAATTAGATTATGATGAGATCACGATAATGAGATCGATTTGCCTTTAAATATAGACGTAAATAATAGAGGTGACTAGTCTCATAGCTGCTCATGTGGGGACACTAGGGATATCGTGCAAGTACTCATTGGAGAATGAGTTCATTGATTGATCCACTCATGGAATGTTGGATAGTTGATGATAACTCATTGTCAGACAACGATTTTGTCATTTCAATGATGTATCTAGTTCTTAGACTTGAGACACCAAGGGTGTCTTGTATAAGTGCTTCACTCTTTAATACAAGACTTATAGGCCTGAAAGTTTCAGATCTAGTACAATCGATTATCGGGAGTGACGGTTAACCTTATGAGGGCTATTAAGTATCGATAGAGGATCATCCGTTCTCAGTGTCATGAGAGAAATATCTCATGTGTTCTTGCTCAAACAAATCTCTAGCCAAAGTCATTCAGATTGAGAGAGAAAAAGTTCTTCGGAAGAATCCGATTAAAGCGAGACTCGAGTATAAATCGTATGGGCTTGACAGCACTATACTCAGTATACAATCTTTGTGATATTAGATAGATAAGAGACTATAGATGCATAATAACTGAGGATAAATGGGTCTAATAGATTGGATTCTCCTATATCATTTGAGGACTGCGGTGTAGTGGCCTAGTACGTCCGCAGTCAATGAGTCAAGTGAACTATTATGGAGATAATAATTCACTGAGCCCGAAGGAGTTCTTATAGGTATGACTAACGACCAACTCGATATTGGGCCTAAAGGGTCACATATGATAGGTGTTGCAACAAGTACATGTTTGGATATAAGATATCTACTGGAGCCCCTATCTTATTTGATATCCAATAAACCCTTGAATTATTAGATCTTATTGATAAGATCCAATAAGAGCCATATGAGATATTATTCGGTAGGGACCTACTAATCTAAGAGGCTTGGGTCATTGGATGAAGATCTAGTACTCAATATGGTAGGATCTATTAAGGTTAAGTTGACAAGGGGCCTCTATAAATAAGAGGAAACCAAAGGGTCATAGGCGAGACCCCTTTTGGTTGTCACTTTCTATTCTCCTCTCTCCCTCTCCTCCTTAACCTATAACTCCTACTTGGGGCATGTGAACAGCAAGAAGGGACTGTCCTTTCTTGATTACGTGGTGCGTACAACGAGGAGGATTATGCAGCGATTTGAGGAGCATCTTCGATGTCCCTATCATATGGATCACCACTAGAGATGAGGACAATTTACCTCCTTCATCCTCTCTCATAAATCTATATAAATTCAGGAATATACGATCTCCCTAGATAACACAATCTTCTTATACGCGTAGTTTTTCGATTTTGTGGATTTTTACAGACCAATTTTTGCACGACAATAAGAGACTAATTTTTTTATAAAAATTTAAGATTTTATTTTCTGTTCTTTTGCTACACATGTGATATCATCCTAGATTTTCCAACAAATCATATATCCATAATCTGCATATCTCAATTCGTAGATGAAGGAGCTCTCGCAAACTCCTCTCTAGCGATGATCCACACAATGGATAAAGCAGTGATGCACCTCCCATAAGACACGTTCTTTCATCGCCTTTGTTCACTACTACGCAGTAGCAAAATTAAGAAGGGGTTAGCCCTTCTTGCTATTCTCATGTCCCAAATAGGGCTAATGGTAGAGGAGAAAAGGGAGAGAGGAGAATAAGAGGTGATCGGCCAAAGGAGTCTAGCATATGACCCTTTAGTCTCTCACCTATTTATAGAGAGCCCTTCTCAACTTAACATTAATGGATTTTGTTATATTGGGTACTAGATTTTCATTCAATTGCTCTGGTATATTAGACACTGGATCTCCATTCAATTATCCCTTGCTTAATAGAAATTATATCTCTATCCAAATATCCACTTTAAGCTCTTATTGGAATTCACCCAACGAATCCAATAAAACAGTGGCTTATTGAATATTATATATTCAATTCTCTATTTGTCATTGTTGAATCTCAGATTTTGATGATGAAGTCAATTATCATTTGTTGTCTAATCTATGTGTTGAGATAAGTGTGC